TGGCCTAAGGGAGCCAGCCTCTTGACCCTTCTCCCTCCATCTCCTCAAGCACTGGGAAGACCCAAAAATCACGAAGGGTTTCCTGGATTCTTTTCCCAGAGCCTGTGCATGGGACTGATTTTCTCAGCCTCTCTTGAGCCTCCCTGAGGGCAAGGCTCAACCTCAAAATCACCCCTAGAGTTTACAGCCCAGGCAAGTTCTGCCTCCCCCGCCCCCTTTGTCAGGGGCTCTAGGGACAAAGAGCTTCCCCCTCAGAGGGCGTGGACAGAGGCCACTGTGTCCTGCTGAGAGGTCAGAGCAGTCACCAGGCAAGGCTGCAGCAGAGTCCAGGGTAATTACTGCAGCCCGGCCTTTGTTGTCCACACAAAACCCGAGGAACCTCATAAAGATGAGGCGGTGATAGGAGCCCGGCAGAAGCCCTTGGGAGCAAAGTTATGAATGAAACCGTATGGGACCCAGTCACAACCTGGCAGGCCCTGCTTCCTGGTTCCGTGACAGAGTGCCCAGAGAAGCTTCCGGAAATTAACTTGTTGGTGCCCAAATTTCTTACAACGATGCCTCACCCTGAGGCCAGGGTCATGGCTGCTTGTCGGACACTAGCCAAGGCCTGAGAACTCCGTATCCGTGGCTTCACACACGGGTACTCTTGTGACACGACTCTCAGGACAGAGTAGGCCTCAAAGTGCCTGCCTTCCTTATCTACCCCCATCTCTGTCAATCAGGGAAAAAGTGAAGTGTGTGGCTCTTCTCAGTGGGAGCCTTCCCCCTGCAATTTTCCAGGATGTGTCGCTGGTGGGCACTTGTCCTATGTGGGGGCACATCTTTGGGGGCCAGGTATGGAGAAAGTGTTGTGTTACTGTTGCAAGGGGAGTGTGTGTGTGAGAGAAAGAACCTGTGGTTCTGTGGCCAAACCCCACAGTCTCTGGACCTTTCTTCACTTTGCTCCTGGCCATGAAAGGAACGAGGATCCTCCTCCCTTCTTTCCTTAGGAGGAAAAAGGGACATACTGTCCCCACCAAGAAGCCAGAAATCCTTCAAAGACAGGGCTAGTTATCAAAGTTTTCCAGAAGTCCGGCAATTTCTCATTCCCAACTCTTCTCTGTGAGCCATACCCCGAATGCCTCAAAACCCCAATCTAAAAACCATTTAAAACTTTTGAAAACTTCCTACTTCTGCCTCCCCCCCCCCCCAGCTCTAGTCCCTGCCGCCAACTCTCAAAACTCTAAAGTTTTGAGATTTACATGTGAAAACAGCATTTCATAACCTCGTGACTTGGGACAAGGAGATGCTTCTGTCCTTTTGGGAAAAACAAAACCCAACCGAAATCATAAAACTTAGAAGAAAACACCATCTCCCTCCAGATGCATTCCCTTGGCCCCAAAGTCACACGTGCTCTGTGGCAGATAGGGCTTTCAATGTGTCTTTTGTTTGATGCTGGTGTTTCAACATCCTCAACTTGATGAGAGAAAGGTCAGCGCGAGGCTTGGGGCATTCACAGACCACACCACCAGGGCCAGGCAGAGGGGAAGCAAGGGGCCAGGAATTCCCCCCTCCCACCCCAGCTCCTGCTCTGGATCTCCTCAAAAAGCAGCCAGGACAGAGAAAGCTAGGGGCTCACCCCCTGGCCTAAACTTCCCCGGTAGCTTACAAACAACTTTTAAACTCCCGGGACCATACCAACGCCAGCAGAGTCAAGTCCGAATTCAACGCCAGCCAAGCTGCCCATTCTCCAACCACAGCGCCTGCCTCTTTATCTCTCCCTTCAAAAAAACAATAATAAGCAAACACAGGCACCTCTGGGAACAGCCTCTGGCCTCCTGCCCTGCCCTGTGTAACCAGCCTGTCCTCACACCCACAGGAGAGGAGGAGACAGTGCCGGTTAACCCTCTGGTCTACCAGGCCCTGTTCCCAGGTTGCAGCAGGGAGACAAACTGTTGCTCAAGAAAATCCTCCAGAAAACCCTTGGCACCAGGAGGCAGCTCCCTGTGGCTCCTGCCCAGCGCCAAGCCAGGGGCTTCCACAGGCGGCTTCTCACTGCCCTTTTAAATCTGCAGGGTTGGGCTCTACTCTTCCCATGCCCTGGGCTGTGCACCCAGGGGCCTCCAAATGGCCATGGCAGAGCGGGGAGGAGGAATAGACTGGCCGAGCACTGCCCTCACCCTGCCAGCCCAGCCGCCAGCTTCTTGGAGGACCTCTGAGAGAACATTTGTTTGGGCTGCCAAGTTAAATCTTCCTCCCTCATGTCAAGGCATTGGAAAAGCAGTCAGGGGAGAGGAGAAGGGGGAGAGTGGGGAAGGAGCAGCGGGAGGGAGGGAGGAAGGGAGGGAGGGAGCGAGGGGGGGAGAGAGAGGGAGGCAGGCAGGCAGGCAGCTCTCAGAGCCCCAGTTACTCGGGCACTGCCCACGGAAGCAGCCTGCGGCTCCCAAGCCAGAGCAGCCCGGACTCGGGACACCCAAGCAGGGGCCGGGCCGCCAGGCCCCCAGGGTCAGGCGCCGGGTGTCAGTCGCTCAGAGCCCCAGCCTCCGGAGACGCCCTCGCTCTGTGCCCCGCTCGCTAGAGGGGCGAGGTGGGAAGGGAAGGCGGAGGAGGGAAAAGTTTGCGGCAGGTAGAGGGGTAAGGGCTGGGCGGCCCTGCCGTCGGGCTGTCCCCCAGGGAGGGGTGGGGGGCCCGGGCCGGCTGTCCTGGCGCGCTCCCGCCAGCCCGCCCTCCTGCCCGGGTTGTTTACATTCCTGGAGTGTCTTTTAAACCCGGGGCTGAGGCCGACTCCCGGCCTTCTCCGGCGGCTCCGGGGCAGTCTCCCGTGAAAATCTGCTGGCGCACAATGGCCGGGAAGGCGGCCGCCCCTCGCCCGCGCCCCCGCTGCTCCGGGGCGGGGAGCCTGCCCTCCGTACCGCGCCCTCTCCCCGCCCGCCTGGCTTCCTGGACAGATGTCCCCGGCGAGGGGGCGACGCGCGCCCGCTGCCCGCGCCCCAGACGCCGAGGCCGCGCTCCCCACTGTTTTCTCCCCTGCCCAGACGCCAGGAATGTGAAACAAGCTTCCAGAGTCCGCCCCCCCACCCCAGCTCCGACCCCGGCCCGGCCCCCCAACCTCCGCCCGGGCCGACCTCCCACTCCCCCGGGGCCGCCGCCGCCGCCGCCGCCACCGCCGCCGCCGGAGACGGAGAGGAAGAAAGAACACGGAGAAATTACTTTCGTATTTGCAACGCGCGCGCGCACACACACGCACATCTTCCCTCTGGGCTCCCCTCCTGGCCGGGGCAGCCCGGTCCAGGCGATGGCCTTAACGCCCCTCGGGCTTCTCAAGACCTGCGGGAAGCCCCTACACACACACCCCTCGGCGTTCCCCGCTAGTACCGCGCGCCGCGTCTCCCCGGGCAATTCACACACAAACAACTTAACCGCGCCTCCACCTCCCATTTACCAAAGTGTGTGTTTTCCCAGGAAATTCAGATGCACAACTTAGCACCACCATCCCTTGCCACCCCGAAATCCAGCGCCGTCTCCGGCGGTTCTCGTACACACAGGCGCACAACTTCGCGTCTCCCCGAACGAGGTGAGGGAGACCGAGGTGGTCCTACCCGGGTCCTTCCCTCCCTGCCCGAATCCCGGTACTGCCCGGGTGTACAGAACGAGGGCTGGAGGCGCACGGGCAGGAGGCGGGCACAGGGTCCGCGCGCGCACAACCTTACTCACGCCCCGCACACCCGAAGAGCCTCGGCCCCCGCGCGCAGCCCAAGCCGGCTCCGCTCAGCCGGGCGTTCGCCGGTCGCCTGGGCCTCGGCCCCGGGCCGCCGAGGAGAGCGCAGTGGAGCTCGGCCGCCGGCCGCTCGCGGGGCTTGCCTGGCGCCGGCGGACCCTTCAAAGGAAAAGCCCCCAGCACCCAGCGCCCCACGCTCGCACCCCAAGAGTCCACGGGGAGCGAGAGGAAGGCCCGGGGCCAGCGGGCGCCCGGGTCTGGACCCAAACTTACCGGGCGCTGCGAGCGCCGCTGCCGCCGCTGGAGGACGCGCCGCTGCCGCCGCGGCCGCTGCCGGGCAGGCCCGGCTCGGGCCGGGAGGAGCGCTGCGAGGGCGCCGAGAACGGCTCCGCTTCGGCTCCTGCTCCGCGCCGACCCGGGCTGGGGTCACCGCGCTGCGCCGGCGCTGCTCGCTCGCTCCGCCGCCGGGTCGCTGCTCGCCCGCCCGCCGCCCGGTCGCCTGCTCTCACGGGCGCCCGCCGCCGCTCGCTTTTTTAATGTCCACAGACAGTGAAAAGGAACTCGGCGTTAGGGGGTGAGTAAGTGAATCAACTCGCCCGGAGCCGAGCAAGTTGAAGTGTCAGATTACATTGGCTATTCTATTTCCAAAGGGCCCCGCGCCGCCGGCCGCCCGCAAAAGCAGGCGCGGAGTAACGGACGGAACGGAGCGCCGTGGCTCCACCGCCGCCGCGGCCGCAGCCAGCGCTCAGCTTCGCTAGGCTCTCGCTCTCTCAGCGCTCTCGCCGTTCACTCTCCCTCTTTCCTTTTCGACTCTTTCTCTCCCTCGCCTTTCCTGTCCCTTCTTTTGCTCTTTCTTCTCCGCTCCCTGATCCCGGCCCTCTCCAAGCTTTCCCCCCTGTGTGGCTCGGAAGAGCCTCGCGCGTCACCCCCCCCCGTCACTCACCTCCCTCTTCTCTCCCCCTTCCTCCACTTCTCCCTGCCCGCCCCCACCTCCCCGCTCCTGCAAGTTTAGAGTAGGAGAAATGCTGAGCCTAGGAAGGGACCCCATTGGGGAGGGGGCAAAAACCACCCGGCACCCCCGGCACCCCCTTGGTTGGCGCGCCCGGGACTAGAGTGCACTTGGGGCCGGGAACGCTGTCAGGTACCCTATTTGGGGGCAAGCGAATTGCTAGCAAGGATCGCCCAAGCGTTCCCCCGGAGGAGGCTTTGGGGTTGTTCTCAAAGCCCGGGGACTGACTGGTGGGGCGAGCAGAGGACCACCCCCCTACACACGCACCACCACCACCAAGGGCGACATTGGGGGAGGTTGGAGCGCGGTGCCCCCGACAACTGGGAAGGACCAGTGCGAACTGTCTGCACCCTGCCGGGTCCAGAGGCGTGTGGATTCCCCGAGGCCGGTCCCGAGCGCCCCAGGCCCAATGCACGTGGGCGGGGTGGGGGCGCCGGGACCCAGACCCAGTTCCACGTCCGGGGCTGGGCACTGCGCCAGGGGCCGCGGAGAGCTACGGCGCTCACAAGGCGCAGTTGGGTGCACCCACTCGCGGGGTTCCCCTCGCGGAGCCACCCTGGAGAGCATTTAAGTGCGCACCCACCTTGACTCTCGTCCACTGCCACTGACACGGAAACTCCTACACAAACAGCACACACATTCGCGCCCACACTCAGTTTTACAAACACGCTTCCACACGCGCGCACACACAAACACGCACACGCGTACACTTGCCCTCACAGATATACCCGTGTACACGGTCATAACAAGCACATTTACACACACGCAATGGCACACACATATCGTTGTACAACCAAATACACTAAAAAACCCCCCCCAAAACATGAAACATCCCCCTGTGCATTAAATCCTCACGCTCACGTACACATACAAACCCATATCCTCCCCCACTCCCTCTTTCACACCCAGAACCACCCCCCCACAGCGCTTGTGATTTGCTGCACCCTCAGTCCCAAATCATAATCGGCGCCCGCGCGTCACGGGTTGGACACACACACTCGCGCGCACGCAAGCACTCTCCTCCCTGCACAGGCGGGGGAGGCTTCGGCCCGGCGCCCGCTTCGGATTCCAGGTGTGGCGAAGGCTCCGCGCTCCGTGTTTTGCAGTCTGCCGCGGTGTCGGAGGCGAGGCGAGGAAGGGAGCTGGAATAACAAAGGCAAGTTGGGGAGAGCGCAAGGGGGCGCAGCCCGGCCCGGGCCGCGGGGGGAGCCCTGCAAGGCCTGGGCTTTGCAGGCTGCGAGGGTCTTGGGCGCCAGGAGCCGGAGGTGGGGAGAGGGGGGGAGGTGGTGAGGGTCGAGGGGCGGGGCCGCAGCGTGACGTCAGAGAACAATGACTCCGCCGGGGGGCGGGCACCCGGAGGCAGCCCGGGCGGGGGTCTCCCCCGGGGACTGAGACTAGCGGAAGACGTCCTGGACCTGCTAGGGCCTTTGCCTGATTGACGAGGTCCGCTTCAGAGCGCGGACGTGCCACGCAGGCTCGAGGATCGTCCAGGCCTCCTGGGCAGTGATCAGCGCCGACCCTGGGCCAGCGCGAGGGGCAGGCCAGAGTACCCTCCCCCCACCCTATTTAAAAACATCCTTCAGTGGGCATCTCTGACCTCGGCTTGAACTCCTTCAGGGCCGGCTAGATCACTCCTTCCACCACCGAGGGAAAGGAGGCAAAATGAATTTGCCAGCCCTGAATTCATTCTCAGGGCTTCGCTAGTCTGACAGCCCGCGAACTCAGCTTGGATTCCTGAGGGCTCGGACGACTGCAGCTCAGGTCCACAGGGGCGTGGGAGGGGATGCGGGGAACCTGCTTGATATTCCTAGGGGAAATTCTGCCGCCCAATGCCATTAGATGCAAGGGAAGGCACTCCTTTCCGGGCCTCAGTCTTTCGACCTGTCACATGGACTGTTTTCAAGCAGCTGTTCCTGCACAGGTGGCAGCTGAGCACCCCTGGGGAAGGTGGATGGCATGAGAGTCTTCCAGACCTCTCAGCACACCAGAGAAGCATGGTCCCAGTACATTCCTGTGGGAGTATATTCCTGAGCCCCTCCCCCTCGGCCTCTGGGTGGCCCAGGTTCCTAAGTCAGGACACGGGGTAGCCCGGGAAACCCCTGAAGGCCTGACCCAGGGCTGGAAGGTGTAATTCAGCTGGCTGAGTGGTGGCTGGAGCCCCAGCTGCTCCCCCTGGGAAATCTCTAGCATTGTAGCAGCCAGAAAGCTAACCCCCCCCCCCCCCCCCCCCCCCCCCCCCCCCCCCCGTCCAAAACCTCAGGACAGAGTTTCTGGGTTTAAGAGCCTGGAGGGCAAGAATCCAGCTTCAGCCAAGAACTAGATGGGTCAGGATGGGTCAGGATGCTCTCCTCTCACCATTTCTGTCCAAATTCCTCAGTGAGTGACATGGGCTCACCACCTCCAGGAAATGAGGAATGGAGGCAGCCTTGGGGGTGATCACTCATGTTCAAAAGCTCCTGTCCAGAAGATACCCCCGACCCCCATTTCCTTTACATCTGAAAACTAGCATGCTACTGCAGAGGGCAGAGGAGCCAAGCCCAGTATACAAAGCAGGCCCGAGCGAAGGGTAATTTCAGCTCTTCCTACTTGAGCAAGCATGACACTTGATGGCAGCAAGTCTGAGAAACCTCACCTGGGCTCTGGGTCTGCCCAGGCCTCCTGGGGATCCTGGCCTCCAGGCCTTGGGACTCAGGCCTTTGCTGTCTCTATTCGTCTTTCAGGGAAATAACAAGGCAGACTGGATCCCTGGGAGGTCTGGGAAGAAGCTATGACTTATACAGTACCTACTGTGTCCTGGGTACTGTGGCAAGAGCCTCTTAGCATCAGCTCACTAAACTCTCCTCGCACTGCCTTGAGTTAGATGCTCTATTACTATCTCCCCTTCAGAGAAAACTGCACTTTGAGTCACTTGGTCAATCAGGATTCAAACTCAGGCTCTCATTAACAAAGTTTCCTGTTGACATCTTAGCCCAGCTCTGCCTCCTCAGCCATAGACTCTCTGTGTGGTCCTGGGCAAGTTGCTAGCCCTCTCTGGGCTTCTCTAAACCAAGGGTGAGGTCTCATGGCAGTGGCCGGGCCTCTTTGGGGATTACGTGTCCTGAGCCTCTACCCTCCTGGCCCTGGCTTCTGTGGGCCTGGAGATCTGGGGGTGAAACAGAGGAGAAAGTGCTTTCACTTCCCAGCCACTGAGAACTGGAAGACAGATCCCACTCAGCCAACGCAGGGCCCGGAAATCACGTGGCTCCGGAGGCAGCTCAGTGCCCATCAGGAGGGTGTGGGCTGCACGGGGCCGGCCTGTGGGTGCCAATGCGGGGTCCTGCCCACACCCACCTTCAGAGTAGACATATGTTTTATTAATTGCCTTGCCTTCCAGGAACCATCAGCAGGAAAGAAGGCCATTGCTTAGGCCTAGGCCTGGGAAGTGGGGAGCCAGGAGGTCCAGGAGGCCAAGAGGAAGGCAGTGGGAAGAGGCTGTAGGTCCTGGGGGGAGCAGAGGACGTTGACAGGGTGCAGTAACTGTGGCCTCCTGGGCTGGAGGCCCTCAGTGGGCTGGAGGGGCAGGGGACTGGCACATGTAGGGGTGAATTCCTACCTCTCCAGGACTGCCTTCTCCGCCTCCATGATTCACCCCTCCCTCCCCAAAAGGGAGCCCAGGGACTAAAAGGGCTGAAGGAATGTCACGTTGTTGTTGAGAGCTTCCTGTTTGCCAGGCATTTCTCATTCCATCTTCTCCACAAAAGCCAGAAGGTGTAATTCCCCACTGAGGACAAAGACTCAGAGAGGTTAAATGACCTGCTTAAGGTCTCACAGTTATTCGGTGGGTGGGGCTGAAACTCAGGGTTGAGAATGGGGATTTGCCTTCATTCCTCACCAGGCTATGGTGCAGACAAAGTGACCTTCTGAGTCCTCTGGGGTGGATGGTGGGAAGACTCACTCACCTGCCAGGGAATGATCGGGTCCCCTCCCATGGTAGTGGGGTCACGGGGAGTAGATTTAGTCTTCACAGCTTGGTGGATCCAGGAGGCATTTGGTCCCTGCCCAGCTCTGAGGCAACTATGTGTCTAGAGGTGGGTGGTTGGGCCCAGCAGAGAGCAGATGTACCCCTCAGCACAGCAGGTTCCCCTGGGCTGCCTCCTCCCTCTGTGCCAGTCAAGTTGCGCACTCCATTCTCCGAGGCCGCACCTGCCCAGCCTCCTGGCCTTGGCTCTCCAGGCCTTTCCACCGGGTATGCTATCTTCTCAGTTCTCATGATGGACCTCTGCTCCATGGTTCCAGACCCAGCTCAGCCGCCACCCCCTTCTACTGCTGGGAGGCCTGGGAGAGTCAACAGAGAGCCTGTTTTGGGAGTTGGGACACCTTCACTCCCAGCCCACTGCTGCCCGGCTTGCCGTGTGTCGTGAGTGCATCACAGACTCTGTGCTCGTTTCCCCATCTGTCAAGTAAGAGAGGGACACAGGATGTTCAATGGTACTTCTGCCACTGATTAAGCCTTTGACTCTTGAGCTATAGTGCACCTCAGGGTTTAGGGGGACCCTGCTTTGGGGAATGCCCTCCAGGGTCTCTTTGGCTTCTTAGGGAAAGGAAAACATGTGTATTCAGAGGGGACCATCCAGGGCTGTGAGTAGGTCATGACCTTAACACCTTGCTTCACAAGGTACCGCTAATCTTCTGAACCTTGCAATGGCCCTTTTTCCAGTGATGAAACTGATCTCCGAAAGGAGGTGGTGGCTTTCTCATGGCCACACAGCTGGGAAGTGTCAAAGTGGGAACAAGAGCCAGGGGTCCCGACCCAGCGCTCTCTCCTCTGCTCCAGCGCTGCCAGAGAACCATCTGGAAGCTAGGAGGTCCAGCACTCCTGGGGGCCTGGAACAAGCTGCCAGAGGAGGATCAAGCCTCCTCTGTCTATCCTGACAGCTCTGGCACCCTGAGGGGGGTCCCTCCTCTCTGGCACTGGAGGGGGTGGGAGAAGAGCTCCGAGCCTCCATGTCTCCCTTCCTCACCTGGACAGCAGTTTGCCGGCCTCAAGGCTCATACCCCCTTGCCCTACCCCATGCCTGTGGCCATGCTGGGTGGCGTCCAGAAATTGCCAGCATTCTATACACACTCTTACCTCCTCATGCTCTTCCTGCCTCCTGGGACACACCCCTACCAACCTTCAAGGCCACATCCATGGCCCCATGCTCAGAGGCCTGCCTCGATACCTCCAGCAGATGTGCTGTCTCCCTGGTCTCAGTGCCCACGTGGTGCTGCCCCTGCCTCCAGCATCAGCGTTATCATCATAACGATTGCATATTAAAGTGTGCTAGACACCAAGTACCTCATGCCCACAAACTCCTTTCATCTTCACACGAGCTGATTGTTATTAGTGGTAGTAACGTCTCCATTTTTAGAGATGAGGAAACTGAGGCACAGGAAGTTTCATCTGCCCAGCATGATACCTCCCTAGGCAGGGGAATTATTTTGATGTGCACCCATCTCCTCCCTGGCTGAGACTGCGGGCCAGAGGATGGCTCAGTGCTCTATCCCATCACCCAGCAGAGTGCCTGAGTGACTGACAGGTGGTCAAGTGCAGTGGGAGATGCAAGGGACACACAAGGATGAGCCAGACCTGGCCCTCCAGGAGCTCCTAGGCTATCAGAAAGGACTGTCCCCATCAAATACCACTCTAAAAGTTTGGGGGAAGGAGAGGAGTTGGCATTGGGTGGGGTCTGGAAGGCAAGCTCTGCTGGGGAAACAGACCAGAGTGAGGCGTGGACCTGCCCAGTCACACAGCGAGTGTGAGGCAGCAGTGGGCTGGGACCCCAGGCTCCCAGTATGATGTACCTTCTTGCACCTTGAGCCAGCTGTAGGGTCCCTGAGTCTGTGCTGTTTTTCAAGGACACACGGTCCCAGACGCCTCCATGGTGCTGAGCTGTTCAATGAGTGGCTCCAGTTCTTCTCTCCCCTCTATTAAATTTTTTTTTAAAAAGAAGAAGAAAGAAAGAAATCCAGGCATTGTTCCTGACTGCAGCTGGTGCCAACTAGAATCCCGCTGAACAGAATGGAGCCGAGAGCCCGGCCGCCAGGGGCCTGGCTGCTGACACAGGGCCTTTCTATTTTGCTTTCCCCTCGGGGGCCCAGGCTGACGTTTCGTCCCTTCCATGGGCACCCTCTCCACCTGCCTCCCTGGCCCCAGCTCTGAGTCTCCCGCTGCCCTCACCCCCTTTGCAAAAATCAGATGCCACTTGGGAGGGGTGTGGAGCACTGGCACCCCCTTCCTCATCACCCACAACCCCAGAGTGAGCTGAACCCCCTCCCTGTCCCCCACTGTACCAAGGCGGGGGGCTTCGGATGCCTGTCTAGGAGAGTGGCAGACATCCTTTCTCCATGGAATCATTTGGAACACTGGTTTGATTTCAGAATCTACCAGGATTTTTCATCCCACCCCGACCTGACTTGGCAAGTGCCAGTCCAAGCTCACCTGTTAAGGCAATTTGCAGCAGGGACGGTTTCGGGGTTGGCGGGGGCTAGGGTGCCCGTGGCAACAAACGGTTTGCAGGCACAAAAGTGCTGTCTAAAGTTCCTGGTTTGCCTGCTGCCTCTGCTCCAAGAGACGTGGTCTGTGGAGGAAGAGGATTCCCCAAACTCTCCCTTGCTGCCTTCATTTCAGCCTCCCCTCCCTGCCCCTTTAGAACCTTGAGTTCCGTTTGGCAACATCCCCCACCTCTGTTCTCCAAAGAGCTGGTCTGACCCAGATTACCCCAAGCATCAGCCCAAAGAGAGCAGCAGCCTGGCCACTATCCCATGTGTACTGGGAGCCCTGGGTCTTGGCCTCGCCATCAAAGCCAGCTTTCCGAGCATCCCCTTTCCTGCTCTGGGTATAGCACTTTGGAGTTTGTAAAAAGCACTTTATGTCTTACCTGAGTGCCACAGCCAGCCTCAAGAGGCAGGCGGAGATTGCACAACCCACTTTGTAGAGAAATAAAATGAGGGTTCAAGGGGCCCAGTGGTTTGGCCAAAGTCATACAGGAAGGGGCAGAATTGGTTTTTGAACCCGGTCTTCTGATTCCATGTCACTAAGCAGGCGTGGGGACCTGAGTGGTAATGGTCTCAGAGGATGGCTCATCAAGTGTTGCCACAAGATGGGATCCCAGACACACTGATTCATCTAACAAACGTTTATTGACTCCCTGCAATGTGCCAGGCACAGAACTAGGCACTGGGGATCCGACAGTGAACAAAACAGATGGGGTCTCTCTGTCACAGAGCTTATATTTTGTTGGAGGAGAGACAGCAAACAGACTGTGTAGGAAGGTGTCCCTGTCCCCACCAGCCCAGTGCATATGCCCCAGAAGGAGCCCTGGCTAGGAGGCTGGAGACACAGGTTCTGGTCCCAGTGTTGTCCCCAGCTCCCCGTGCGATGTTGGACAAAGCTTTCTACCTGTGAAATCTGCAAACATGTGGCACCTTACACATTTCCCCAGGTTCCTGCCCTACTCCCAGGCTCTGAGTCAAGTGGTTAATGATTTCCTAGCATGAATAATTACTCTGATTAATTTTTTCTCAAACCTGACTTTTCATCAGCTCTCAGAAGCCAGAAAGGGGCTTCTGAGGTCATCGAAGCGAGAACCCCTAGGCCTCATTCTTCTCAGGAGGTGACTCTCTCTCCTTGCATCCTTCTGGGAATGCTTGCTCCCTCACATGGCAGACACTGCTCAGTGATGTGCTGGTAAGGGCTTAACATCTGGCTCTCCAAAATGGGGAAAACCTGACGGATAGCGTTTGCCGATTTCCATGGTGTAAACACTCCCACTGTGGCCAATGTCAAGCTGCTGACTTAACATCACCCAACTCACAGAGTTCCAGAAAATTTAGCCATCGCCTCTTGTGAGCCGGTCCGAGCCGGCTCCAACACACCACTGGCCTGCCCCACAGAGAAGCCCTGTCCAGCTTTATGTGTTGGGAATTTCTTCCTGGTATTGAGTGAAACCTCTAATTCTCTGGAGCTCCAGCTTGAAGGTCCTGAGCTACCTCTCTGGGGTGTCATAGGACAAGGGGGCCCCTGGGCCCCCATGAAGCCCTTCAGAGAGTAGGAGGAATTGACTTCTGTCTCCCCGTGACAGGGGAAGTTCCTGGGCCAAGTGGGGTCAGGGTATACTCACCCTCCCTCTCTGCGTCTCCTTCCTCCCTCCCTTTCACAAATATTTATTGGGCCTCTGTGACCCATCAGGCACCTGCTAGATGCTGTGGCCCTGGCCACCCATGTCTTCGCTCACGCTGGACCCTCCAAGCGGAGGCCTGTCCACCTTGGAGGCTGTACTCAGATGTCACCCGCTCTCAGAAGCCTGCCCTGCCCTCCACCCCTTCCCCTCCCGAGGCAGGCAGGCGCCCGCCCTCCCACAGTCTTTCTCGGTCCCTGTTTGCCACTTATCACTTTCTACCTTGGATTACAGCTATCTGTGTACTCGGCTTATCGCTCTGCCAGACTGAGAGGCAGCGGGCTTGCTGAAGGAGCATGGACTTTGGAGCTGCACGACCGGGCCCTGAATCCCAGCCTTGCCGCTTATGGCTGTGAGCCCTAGCGAAGCTCCTACCGCCGTGGGGAGCCTCCGCTTCCCTATCTGTAAAGTGGGGCTGGTCATAACTCCTTCCAAGATGATCTGACCGTTAAATGGGATTAGAAATGTAACTCCCCTTTCCTGTTCCTGTCTGGGACTCTCATCTCTGGGGGACAGAGATTGTGTCCGGTGCTGTGTGTCCTCCTGGTTAGGACAGCAGTATAAATATTAACAACAATGGTAAACACATATAGCAATGTGACTACATGCAGGGTATTGTTCTAAGAACTTAGGCGTGCTAACTCATTTCATTCTCACAACAACCTTGTGGCATTGGAACTATTCCTCCCACTGATAGATGAACAGTCTGAAGCACAGAAAGGTTAGATGACAAGCCCAAGGTCACACAGTGAGTGGGAGAGCTGAGATTTGAATCTAGGAAAATCGGCTCCAGGGCCTTAGCTGTGGAACACTCTATTAAATGGCCATGGTTGAAGGGCTTAGAGAGGCTTAGGGAGCCGTTGGGGGCCGGGGGGGCTGTCCATGGAGTACCCCGGTCTGTTGACATTCTTGTCCTGTCCTGTGGGGTCACGGTGGACAGAGAAGCTCCTGGTCTGTCCTCTAGGACCTCTGGGCAGGTAAAGTGGTTAGTGCCGAAGAGAGGCTTGTCTCTAGGTCCCTAGGGGCAGAAGCCTGAGAGGCCACTAATGGATTAGGCAATTAGGCAATCAGAGAAGGCTTCGTGGAAGAAGTGGCATTTGCAGTGGGCCTTGACTGATGAAGATCTGGGTGGGGAGGGACAAGGCAGAACAGTAGGAGCAAAAGTGCAGAGGTGGAAGAGGTATATTAGGAATTCACTTAGGTGTCAATCTAGACATTCTCCTGTGTTCCGGTTGGTAGGTAGAGCAGATAAGGTGAATATAGGGAAGGGTGTGTTAGTCGTCCAGTCTGTGATTCAGAAAAAGCTGAGGGAACTGTTTCAGGGGCTCTGAAAGCCAGGACAGACCCTGAAGAACTGAGAGCCAGTTGGGCTGCCCTAGGGGCCAGATTGGCATTTTGCTTCTTTATAAGCTACTCTGAGTACTCAGAGTCCTGGGTTCCTGAATCCAGCTCTGCCTCTTGGTTATATCCCTCTGTTTCTCAGAGCCTTAGTTTCCCCATAGGCAGAATGGGCATGAAGAGTGGACTTGGGGGGCCAGTAGAAGGAGGCAACAGGGCTGCTGGTGGGGCCCTGCCCGACACTCCTGGGGTAGGAAGTAGGTGGGAGGTACGTGGCGGGGGGGGGGGGGGGGCACGGGAAGCCAGAAGGGGGTGGGTGGGAGGAGCTCCATGTGCGTGGCCAGCGGGTGCCAAGCCTGCCAAGTTGGCTCAGGTTGTTCCTCGTGATTCTTCCCACACCACATGCTCCATTTTCCTGGCATTGCCAAAGGCTGCCCAACTCTGCTGGCTTAAACCCAGTCTCCCTCCAAGGCTTCTGCAAGGACAGCGCCTGGTAGGCTGTGGGCTGACCCTCCCCTCCGGCAGGCCCGCCTCGAGCCCACTAGGCCCCTCCAGGTAGCGCTAATTGTACTAATGAACGCTTTGGGAGCATTCATTGTGTGCCAGTGCTTTTTTAAATGCTTCCATTATATTAACTAATTTAATCCTCACAACCACGCTGATGACACCCATCTTGGGCGAGGAAACAGGCAGGGACAGGTTAAGCCCGGTGGTCCCACTGCAGTTGCATGGCGGGAAGGGTGAAGCCTGAGGGGTGCAGAGAGCCCGCGGAGCCTGGCAGCAGGGCCTGCAAGGTGCAAGTCTGTGCCCCTTCTGGCTGTTTCCCTGTGCGGGGACCCTCACACTTCTCCTTTCTGCTCATTTCCAAGTTCACAAGCGGGTCCTCTGTCCACACGCATGCGCGTATGCCTGCACACTGGACACCACGGTTGTGCAGACGCAGAGACAGTCCCCCATGAGTCTCGCTGTCACATCCACAGGTACAGGCACTGTGCCCACCCTGCCGCAGACACACACACCCTCCCCCCCACCCCCCACAGGCACACACGCTCCTGTGTCCCCCAAATGACCCGGTGGGATCTGTGAACTCACGTTGCCTCCCCCTGGCCTCCAGCCTCTGCGGATGGCCCTCTGGCCCAGGCATCTTCATTCTTGTCCCTTCGAGCCCATGGCTCCAGAATGTGTGCACTGTGCAGGTCCCGCCCAAATCCTTGCCCTGCTCTGCCTCCCTCTACACGAACTGGGCCTCAGGGGTGTGGTAGGGGCTTGGGGGTGGATGGTTACCCTTCCCCCAACTTCAGGGGCTGCAGAAGGAGCAGCAGGAAGAGGAGATAAATTAATCCTGGCCTCCCCTCCCCCGGGCTCTCTGTGATGCTAATTCTCTCCGCCTTTGATCCAGCCCAGGCCCCTAACTCTGAGCAGGAACAGGCGCTGGGCCTGCCCCGAGATTAGGGCTGCCCTGGGTGAGGCCCCCAAGCATAGCCCCCCAGGCAGCAGGTTGGGATTTTTCCCCTGGGGAGGGGGTCTTGGGGATTAGAATTCTGGTTACTGACCCTGGCCTTTACAGCACACTCCCCTTTGCAAGAACTTTCTCATTCTCGCTCCTCTCCAAGGGACCCTGTAGTTCCCATTTTACACCAGAGCAGAGTGAGGTCCAGGGACAAAAGGACTCCAGAAGCTTCAGGCCAGTGAGTGGTGGGGTCCAGACCGGAGCATAGCTCTCCCAACCTCCAGTCTCGCCCTGTTTGCTCTAGGGGTTTTTGTTCCGGTGAGTTTTTAAAAAAACACTATTATAGAGGAGTCACTACCTGCCAGGAGCTGTGTCTTAAAGAGCCTCGTGCCATCCAGCTCGCAGATCAGCTCTGTGGGGTCCCACTTTACAAGTAAGGGAGTGCTCCACGTCCCTGTCCCACGTCGGCAGAGTCTCAAAGCCAGGACACAGGCCACCTGTAGTCCCTCACTGTGCAGAGGGGACAGTGAGACCCAAAGAGCAGAAGGGACGTGTCCAATCCTGTACAGGAAGTTGGCTGGGCATTCATCCCCTATCTTCCTAGCTACACCTGGTCTTGTTCTCGAAATGTCTGGAGTCTTCTATGGACCCAGTGGAGCTGGACAAGAGTCCAGACCCCACGCTTCCCCCCCCCCCCCCCCCGCCGTGAGTATGCCAAGCTCAGGTAATCACATAGAGGCATCTCAGCCAACCCGGTTTCAGAACAGCCCTGTAAACTTGCGCATAAATACAATTAAAATGTTTATTATGTTCAATTTCATACATATGAAAGACTGTAAGCTATGAAACTCATTACAGTGAACACTCATGACCATCATACTGAAGAACTGAAGCATTATAGACACGTCCCAGAAGGAACCAGTACCTGAAGCTCAATCACGACTCCCTTCTTCTTTTGAACAAATGGTTAGAGCACACGGGTGTGATCCGCGGCTAACCACTTTTGAGACAGTGAATCACATGCTGCATTCCCAGGAGAAGTGCCTTCTTTAAAGGGACAGGGGGAGCTTTGAAGAGTAACTTGTGCCCCCATGTGCCCTCCTCCTCAGGGGCTGCCATCTGCACCTGTTGTTATGCTTTGGGGGGTATCTGCAGTGTGGTACCCTATTTTGCCCTCCCCAGAGAGTGTTCTGAAAGGACATTTCTTCCTGGTGTGGCCAGCAGAAGCAGGGCTGGGGCCCCCCCCGGGCAGCTGGGCATTCCCTGAACAAGGCATACCGTCATGCTTTTGCCTGAGCTGTTCCCTTTACCGGGAATGCCTTTCCATCTAGTCTGCTTGGGAAAACCAGCTCCTAGGTTCAGCTCCAAGGTGTCATTTGTTGGGAGGCCTTCCTTGTGAACCCCGTCCTGTGACCCCCAGCAGAGTTGGGTGTGCCCTCCTCTACCATGTCTGAGTCCTTGGGTACCCTTCTGTCAGGCTTATCCCAGAGCAAATGTTCTAGTAGCTGCCAAGAGCAGCCTTCATCCCTAGATCCCAGGCACAGCTGGCTGTCCCACTGGGGCAGGTGCTTCCAGAGCGACCGAGACAGAATCAGGGGGAAGGTGATAGCACAAGGACCTCCCTGTGGCGCTCCAGGGGCTGGGACTCAAACGTCCCACCGGGATTGCTCCGAGGCCTCTCTGGATGGAGGATTTGGAGGCAAGGCTGGCAGGAGACTGCCCGGGGCTAGGGGCTGCGTTTACCCATTTGCTCTGTTGATGTGTGTGTGTGTGTGCATGACACCTGTGCAGGTCGGTGGGTGTGGGCCCAGGAGTGCACATGTCCACCAGTGCTTACACATGCGTGTGCACACACGTGGCTCCACGTGCACACTTGCTTTTCCTGCTTTCAGCCCCCTCCTGGACAAGCCTGTTTTCTTCTGAGTATCACGCAGCACAAGCCTACGGAGGACCTGCTGTGTGTCAGACCGGTGGGGTTGGCCGCGCACTAGGGGGACAGGCCTGACAGAGGGTTCACACACTGTCTTGCTGTCCCCTTCTGCGCTCTCCCGTGCACTAGCCCTAAAAGCCAGGTGCCACCTCCACTTCCCCGTTGAGGCCCGGGAGAGCCTCAGAGAACAGAGGGGGATGGCAGGGGACATGGGAGGCTGAGACCAGAAGCCCTGATGCCGGGGCCCGATTCTCGGCCCCGGGTGCCAGGGGCCTGCCAGAAACCCCTACTTCCAAGGGACGCCTGGCACAGGGAAGAGCCACCCAGAGTCCTCCCCGGCACCCTCCTTTCCTCCCTTTGGCTGCTGCACTTGGGGGCGCCATTCCCTGAGCGTCCTGTAGGAGGGCGCCATAGCTGTTAGCGGCTGCAGGGATGGGGGGAGCTCGCAGCTGAGTGGGATGGGATGGGACGGCCTCAAACTGGGGACCGGTCACTCCTCGCCCCCACATTCACACACACAAGGCTCTACGCACACGTGCGCAAGGGTGTACACACAAATACACATGAACGCACGCACGCATGCCTGCCCAGAGACGCAGTGCCAGTTGCCCACTGCTCGCCTTCTGCCTCGTGGTTCCGGTTTGCTCCTCTAAGTCAGGCTGCCCTAAAAGGGGCCCTATGGCTGTCTGCTTTTCTGTCTGCCCTCCATCTGAGAATCAGGACCCCGGCGGCTGAGGAAGATGACTGTAGAGGGATTTGGTGCTCCTTTTGGAGCATTATCGCCCTGCCCTTTCAGGAGGGAGGGTGACGTGGGTTAGCCTCTGTGAATGGGGGGGAGCAGGGAAAGGGATGATTGCTGTCTTTTCTTCCCCACCACCCAAATGCACCCTGGAGGTCCTGAGTGAAGGTCTCTTTCCTGTGATAAGGGCGGCACTGTGGCTTGGCAGTCAGAATCTTTGGCTCTGGACTCTGATGGCCCCGGGTGAATCCAGGATTCCTCACCTCTACCTTGGGGTTGTGGGCAGGTCGTTTCACTCCACTGAAGCTCCATCCTGAACTTGTACCGAGAAGATGAACGCACTCGCTTCACAGTGTTTGGAGATGGTGGGCCAGGCCCGGGCCTGGGAAACAGCAGCGGGGGTGGTCTGGGCTTGTTCTTGTAAATGCCATGCAAGGCCAAACTGTGTTGTGTCCAGACCACCTGAACCACAGGACCTCGGCCTGCCTCACAGCCTGGGGAAAACCGAACTCCAGTCCAGGCTCTGCTTTACCAGCGGGGTGACCTTAGGCGTGACAGGGGCCCCTCCAACCTCAATATCCTCAGCCCCAAAAGAACATACTCATCTGAGGGGCACATGGGGCTAGAATGACTGATTAGGTGGGAAGGAAGGGCCTTGCAAATCACAAAGCTGTGTCCCTTCTGAGGATGCAGGTGGGGGGGACAGGGACCCATCGCCCCTCAGTGGGACCCTGTCCTTCTGCACCCACACCCAGCATTCTGGCCCCGAGCTGGGCTGAGAGCTGCATGGAAAGAGCCGTGTTTGTCTGGGGACCACTCTGAGCCCCGTGCCCGCCCTCTGCAGGCCTCCGGAGCTGCCAGGTGGGAGAGCCCTCACGCGGGCAGTCTGAGGCCCCTTTGAAGCCGGGAAGTTCGTACCGAAGGGGCAAAGGCAGCCTGGATTCAAAGTATCTCTCTTGGCCTTTAATTACCCTTCTTCACCCATAGGTGGAATTTCCACTCCAAGAGCCAGAGAGAGGCGCGGGCGCGGGCGCTGGGGGCCGGCTTCCCCTGCTGCCTTTGTGTGGCGGCCGCCCGCGCAGCTGTGGCGCGCAGCTCGGGTTTCTGATTTTAATGATTTCCTGAATTCATTCTGTTTCCTACC